CAACTCTGGATCGTATACGCACACTAGACCCCTTACCCAACTCTGGATCGTATACGCACACTAGATCCCTTACCCAACTCTGGATCGTATACGCACACTAGATCCCTTACCCAACTCTGGATCATATACGCACACTAGATCCCTTACCCAACTCTGGATCGTATACGCACACTAGATCCCTTACCCAACTCTGGATCGTATACGCACACTAGATCCCTTACCCAACTCTGGATCGTATACGCACACTAGATCCCTTACCCAACTCTGGATCGTATACGCACACTAGATCCCTTACCCAACTCTGGATCGTATACGCACACTAGATCCCTTACCCAACTCTGGATCATACTCTTTTAGATCACTTAACTCTGGATCATATCGCACACTGATCCCTTACTTCTGGTTATATATATAGCCTTATATATATATATATATTTACACATATTATACACACACACACACACACTAGATCTCCTACACATTCTGGGTCCTTCAAACACACTAGACTCCTGTATACACACACACACTACATTCCTAAAATACACACTCTGGATCCCTTCTAAACACTACATCACCTATATACATACACGCACACACTTACTACATCCCCTATACACACACATTCTCTACAGCCCCTAGCCATATATGCATCACATACACAACATGACTAAAACCGACACAACACACCACAATCAGCTCACTCTACACACACGCAATCCCACAAGCAGGCTCCAAACACATGCACAATACTCTTTCCTTGCCCTTTTGTCTCTGGGTATCCATTTATATAGACACCATAGACAAGTTGCAAGGAAACAGAGTGCAGGCATGTTATTAAATTTGCTTGCACTGTGCAGAACAAATACAGGGCTTTTTTTCTCATGCTAGAGCTCTTTAGCAGAGCTCTGCGCATGGTCTGCCCTGGAAGAGCATAGAACCAACATGCTCACTTTGAGATGGGGCATGTTTGTCATTGGTGATGACGAAACACACCCTCTCTGTCCCGCTCCTTTCTTAGTGGGCTGCTGAGAATTTTTCTCCCAGTCCGGCCCTGTGTATGTGTGGAGATAGGTATATATTTATATTTCCAACTACTTTTAACTTGTGTATGTATATCTCACACATGTAATGATTTACAATGGAATATATTCCAATGGTCTCTGTTTATTGAACAGGAACATTTGCATTTCTCCCATGCTGTTGTCGTTTTTGTTTGGGTTTTTTTTTTTTATTATATTTTTGCACATGATGCATGTTCTACCTAATGTTTCTATGTGTGAATGCAGGAAATCCTTATTCAAGCAATATACTAAAAGAAAGCGCCCTTACGTGATTTGTTTTGGGACCTAAAGGTTCTAGAACACACTGCTTACCATGATCACAGCAGAGGAAAGAAAATAAAAAAGGTCTTGTGTAGCACATATTTTCTCTTAAGCAGCAATACTTGGTAAGGAGTGCCACCTTCCACCATTTAGTAGGGAAGGGAACCCAGTTGGTCACTAGCAATACTGCATGTAAACCGGTTGTACAGAATCCAGCCACAGACCAGGTTTCATGTATTCACATTGAGAAATATGAAGCAGCAAGTTTTCAACATGTGTTGGCTTTGTGCAATTTCTGATGTAGTTTGATATATTTTTACTTTCTGGAAATATATTCTTATTGTTTAATTCTTCTTCTTTTTTAAAGGCTATGTCCAAACTGGGGCTTCGCCAGGTCACTGGAGTCACAAGAGTCACTATCCGAAAATCCAAAAATATTCTTTTCGTTATCACAAAACCAGACGTATACAAAAGCCCAGCATCTGACACTTACATTGTCTTTGGAGAAGCCAAGGTGTGTAATATTTGCTTTACTTTATATAGGTTCTGATACCTCTAAGCAGCCCAGCATGGAATGAAAACATAGATAGATTAAAGAGCTGGATGTTGCAAAGTATGAGAGCACACGTAGAGATATTGATAGAGAGGAGTGAAAAAAGTTATAGAAATGTGTTTAAAGAATTCCAGTATGACCCTAAACCATATTTCCATATATTTGACATAAATCATCCATATTTTTAATATTTTGACAACTTAAAGTGTAACTGTCATGCTGGTTCTACTTAAGCTCTTTTAAAAGAGCTTGAAATTCCATTTCTACATAGTGCTAGCAGTTAAACTTTATTTCACTTTTCCCATTTTATTTATTTGAAGTGGGCATTAATTAGCTCCCATATTACCTTTTGGAACTTCTGCTGTTGAGTAAAGATATGTCTAATAAATTATTTCAATAATGAAATGTACCTTTTATGGTAGTGAAGGACACCTAAATAGCTAGTGGCTTACAGCCGCCAACTTGAGTTTAGTATTCCCTCATTATGAACAATTGTGGTAGAAGAGAAAATAATTGAATATTTTCACACAATCAAATATGCCCATAAAGCCATCTGTTCAATTTAACTAAATGTGATTTCATGTCACAAGTTCCATATCTGCAGTTTAAATACTTTTGGAGAAGCTTTTTGAATATTTATCACTAAATTGGTAATTAAAATAAATATGAACACCAGACCATGAGATGGTCGTCATCATGTTACGCAAGAGAGAACACTCAATTTCTCTCACACCAAATTTCAAGAGTCTAAGGTTAGAAATTTGCATTTTATAGACATTCTGAACATTATGTTCAGATTATTATTCAAAGATGCCAAGTGTTCTTTAGCTACTTGATCAAAATAAATGTTTATACTATTGACTGGCAAGTGTTGCCTAAAGTCACTGTTACCATATACCTTTTACTATATTGTACAATCTATGTACTTTGCAGATTGAGGATCTCTCACAACAAGCCCAACTGGCAGCTGCAGAAAAATTCAAAGTACAGGGTGAGGCTGTATCAAACATCCAGGAAAACACACAAACTCCAACAGTACAGGAGGAGAGCGAAGAAGAAGAGGTGAGTTTTGTAATGGAAATTCATGGTGAGCGGGGAGTTAAAACCTTATGGGTAATGCGATCTACAACATCTAATAATATAGTGTTCCTATTTTTACATTGTTATTTTTAAACCTGTATCTTTCATGTTATGTATAATCCAGCTTGCTTGTTAAATAACTGGGCTTTATTTTATTTATTTTTACTTTAGGTTGATGAGACAGGTGTGGAAGTAAAGGATATTGAGCTTGTTATGTCACAGGCTAATGTATCCAGGGCGAAAGCTGTACGCGCTCTTAAGAATAACAGCAATGATATAGTAAATGCTATCATGGTAAGTGTGGTTTTGTGTATACAGATTTAACCAGTATTCATTCTGTAGTAACCCATGGCATATTAATTATCTCATAATATCTAGATGTATCCTCCTCTTCTACATTCTGTATATACAGGTTTCTTATTTCTTTGTTTGTGTGTTTGTTCTGAATAACGAAGACCAGAAAACTTGTATGCATTCTACCTCTGGTTGTGTTTTTTAGCATGTTGCCCTACTTATGGATATCGCTAAATGTTAAGAGTATTGTTGAAATATGTATCTTGTGTTATCCATTTGACAGAATGAAAAGGTTTCTACACAAACTGTTTAAGTATGAGAAGAGGTTATGTTGTAGAGTGTGCAAACTTTTTCTGCTTCTAGGTTTTTCTAATATTTTTGTAGTAAAGATAAAATCACCATATATGTGATCACAATACCTGTCTAGCTTTAGTCCTTAAATTTTCAGCACATTCCTTTGTTACACAAGATTATTTCCATTGTTGAACAGACTTTCTTACACTGCAATATTTACTTTGCAGAATTAAGTCCTCCTCTAGTGGCTGTCTATGAGACAGCCACTAGAGGGACTTCCGTGTTCATAGAACACGAAAAGTGTTTTAAGCAACGCCGAAATCTCCATAGGAAAGCATTGAATAATGTTTTCCTATGGGGAGGTCTAATGCGCGTGCGTGGCCATTGTAGAGTAGGCAGAGCCTGACCAGCACCAAGGGACATCGGTGCTAGACTCCGGTAAGTCACTGAAGGGGTTTTAACCCCTTCAGCAACCTAGGGTGGGGGGTGTGACGGAGAGTGGCACTACAGGGTCCTGCAGTGCCAGGAAAACTAAGGTTTTCCTGACACTGGAGAATCCCTTTAAACACGTTGTTGGTCCTGTCATTTTTAACATTGCTTAATCAGTGCTCTTTATAAGTCATACTGTACTGCTCGGTGCAATATAGTCATTACACATGTTATGGTCTCTCTGGTCTAGAAACCTAAACCTACACATGAATGGGATTATAAACCTGTGTTTTTTACTTGTAATTCAACACTGTGTAACTGAGGACCTTGTAAAGTGCTCATAAGGGCTACTACAGTACAGTATGAGCAAAGCTTAAATATAACTACACAGTATCTTTACATTTTGGCATCTCAATTTTAACTATCAATCGGTTAAGAGGTTCAGTAAACCCTTTACCGTTTTGCTGCTAAATAAATTTATTTGGTCAAAGGGCAGTATAGAAAATGAAAGTAACACATCAAAATAAAGTTGGTTTGAGTTCATAGGTATGAAAGTTAAACTACTTTTTTCAATATTCATACACGTATAACTTCATAACTTTATAACTTTTTATTTTTTATTTTAACCAAAATGTAGGAGTTGACGATGTGAGGGTCTGCAGGAAGATCTCCTTTCGTCTTGCTCGTGGGTTGGTGCAGCTGAAATCGAGATTTATACTATTTCTATTGATTTAATAAAGTTGTGGCTTATTGTTGGTGACTTATTACTGATATTTTGTTTTTTGTTATATGAAATGGTTTTGAGAACTTTTCAAAAAAAGATACTCTTTAAAATCTTGCTGTAGTTGTGATGTTGCCTGTGTTTTGACTTAACTGCTTTGCGATTTAAGCTGGGATGCTAACAGTTTGGCATAAACAGTGTCTGTCCACAGCACCTGCAGACAGCCCACTCCTTTTTTTGAACACTTTTGTCAGTGTCCACTTCATCCAACCTGGACAGCTTTGATCGGTTGAGTGCATTGAGCTAATCCATCCCAGCACATTTAGCCAGCCACAGGAAAAGGTAAAGCCTGACTTGTCCATTAGGAAAATAATTTGATCATACAGAACAAAGATGTAATTTGCATCTTTAGAACCTAAAGGAGGTTGGTGCAGAGGGACGCCTGACTTCAGTATACAAACTTCTCCCTGCTCAATGCACAAATATTCTGTCTGTTAAAAGCAGGATACGATCATTGCCCTCTAATCTTTCTAAGCTACCATCTAGGCATTAAAAAAGAAAACCACACACAATCTAGCTGACTGTGCATGCATTTTTTTTTTCCCACAATGTGGATGTAATCCAAGCAAAGATATTTAAAGCAAATATAGTTTGACAGCAAATTTACAACACATTTAGGATCATTAAGACAGAAAATATTCAAGCAACCTCCAACCTTTCTGGTAATTACAAATAAATTAAAGCACAAAATATACATAAATCTATCGCCCTCAAATATCTTGGAGTTAGAATGTAAACATAACAGAAAATTTAACAGCGTAATAAGTAGTTCACATGAGGAATCCCTGGTAAATAAATTTCAATCCACTCACATATTTGAGCCAGTGATATTGGCTCAAGTATAAGATGCATGGTAAAGAGATACTTCAGATTTCCTGGGACCACAATCTTCTTTTTTTTTTTATCAACAAAGTAGAAACCTATGTGGATTTAAAATAAACGTATCCGTTAAAAACTAGAATATCCTACAGATACGAAGGCAGAAACACCCGCAAATGTATTTTCCAAGCATTTGCATTTCTCCGCAAGGCATCAAAGTTCTTCTGTGCCAAGAGCCCAGGAATTGGAATATTTCTCAGATTAAAGTGCTGAGGACCCGGCAAAGTTATTTCAAAATGTCAAGCTGGCCAATGAATATATTTGGGAAATGACAGACAAATCATTTAATTTGGCTGCAAGATGTATGGGCTTATCTTCAGTTGCCAGCAGGGCTATTTTGTTAGTCTGTCTGCTGATACTGCCTCTAAGTCTGCATTATGCAAACTCCCTTTTGAAAGGAAAAAGTTATTTGGATCCACACTAGATGACCTGATTAAACAAATTTCAGAATTTACAAAGAAAACACTTTCCTGGGATAGAGGTTGAAGATGGTTTTCAACCCCTGCAGTCAAAGGAATTCCAAAAACAGAAATCATCCCTTTCGCAAAACCAAGAAATAAATGCAGAGAGACAACTGTTCATCGTGCATGTTGACTAAAATAAAAAAACATTAATACAATTCTGAAGCCATCTCAAAAAATAGGAATACTTTTTTTTTTTTGCTAAACTGGCTCCTCAATTACTTTTTTCTCTTGCATCTGTCAAGAAAAAAAATAAAAATCTCTTAAGACTATCAAGTTAGCAACATATTATTAGCTAAAAGAAGATTTAAAAATCACATTACAAATACTCCAAGATCATGGTTGGCTCATAAAATCAGAGAAATTTTTGCAACAACCGTCAGACAGGGTTCCCTTTCTCTGCCAAATGGTTTACACTTGTTTCTACCTGTACACAAGAGGCTAAGAATGCATTCAGAAAACCCCTGTTTGCTCCATCAGACATGATGAGCATGTTAGGGATACTTACATCCACCATTCCGGACATAAGATGAGGAAAGGCAAACATCAGGTTACTTCAAGAAGAAATATTAGTGCTGGAACAGGTGACTTGGAAAAATAAACTCGTATTTCAGAAAACACAAAAAAAAAAAAAAAGATGGTGGAAAATATCAATATTTGTGCAAAAAGATCTTACAATTGCACAAAGAACTTGAGTGAGGATTACTACAGATGCCTTTGGAACAGGATGGGGCACTTATGAATTCCATAGTGGCTCAGGGAGTATGGTCTTCAAAAGATGTCATTGTGTCTTCCAACTTCAAGGTAATGAAAGCAGCCTGGAAAGCTGTGTTAAATTTAAAAAAATATAAGTCTAATCCGTTAGTCAAGCAGACAGCTTTACTATGGTAATTAATTAAAAACAAGCAAGGAGGAATAAGAAGCCAACTTTTTAACAGAATTATGTGCATACAGAAACCATTTATCAGCTAGATCAGCTGTTCATGTAAGAGGCAAACAAGTGTCGCGCGACCTGAGCAGACACTGGAAACATGCAGACTGGTCTCTAAAATCCCAAATCTTCAAAGACCTGGTAAAAAATTTGTTCCAGCGATGGCCACAAGGAGCAACAGGAAAGGTTCCTTCATTTGCATTCTAGATGTCCTAGATGGCATTTCAGTAGAAGCCCCCGTTGCATTAATTCCATGCAAACTGGTCCTTAGTGCTGGCAATTATTCCTTTTTGGCCGAACCACACCTGGTTCACACCTCCTACTTCTGACAGAAGCAAAACCATGGTAAAATACTGTATTATAAAACAATTTGGAGAACAAGGGTGTGTCAATCAAAACACTAAAAACTTTAGCCTTCAGGGCATGGATAATGCAAGGCTGATTCTTGTAGACAATGGAATTAAAGATACAGTAGATCTTTTCTTTAAAAATCCATGAACATATTTGGAATACAGTCATCGCTTGGTGTAAAGAGAGAAATCTTAATGCCATCAACCCTTCTGTTCCAGTGGTTTTTTATGACTTCAGGAAGGGTTTAGACTAGGACCTTACCTTTCTACACTTTTTTCCTAATTCAGGATTTCGCTTCCCAGTCTTTAATTAGAAGGCTACATGACCGCTTCATTCTCCGGAGCAATCACATTTTCCGCCTGGGTTTTAAATGCCTTATATCATATTCCTTTGGAGCCACTGGAATATTGTTTAATTAAACATAATTTTCAGTTGCTATTACTTCGGTTAAAAGTGTTTGAGGAATTCAAGGCCTTTCTGCAGCACCTGAATTTGTGTTTTTTTTTCAACAGGACAAAGTTGTCTTGATTCCTAAAGCTTATCAATAAACTGCAATCTTTGAGTTGTGATTTCAGTATTGTTGAACGGGTTAGGCCGTGGCTGAGTGATAGGCAACAGAGGGTTGTAGTCTAATGGAGTATATTCGAAGCAAGGTCTTGTTACCAGTGGGGTACCTCAGGGATCTGTTCTTGAACCCATATGTTGTCAGTGATGTTGCAGAAGATCTTGATGGTAAGCTATAACTTTTTGCTGATGATACAAAGATTTGCCATACAGTTGATGTTCCAGGAGGGATAAGCCAAATGGCAAATGATTTAGGTAAACTAGAAAAATGGAGAAAGCCTTGACAACTGACATTTAATGTGGATAAGCAAAAGATTATGAATCTTGGATGTAAAAACCCAAGGGCAGAATATAGAATATTTTAAATAGTCCGAACCTCAACATCTGAGGAAAGGGATTTAGAGGTAATTATTTCAGATGACTTAAAGGTAGGCAGACCATGTAATAGAGCAGCAGAAAAAGCTAGAAGAATTCTTTGGTTTTAGAGGGAGACATATTAGCAGTAGAAAGAGGGAAGTGCTCATGCCATTGTAAAGTACTGGTGAGACCTCACGCAGTACTAGATACAGTATCTCCAGAAGGATATTGGTACTTTGGAGAGAGTTCAAAGAACGGCTACAAAATTGGTTCAAAGATTGCATTGTAAAACTTAGAAGGAAAGGTTAAAGGAACTTAACATGTATAGCTTGGAGGATAGACGAGGCATGACGAATATGATAGAAACATTTAAATATATAAAGGGAAACAACACTGTAAAGGAGGAGTATTACTTAAAGTACCCACCCGTCATGGAGTTTCTGGCTATCTCTCTACTGTACTGCCGCCGTTCACAGGGAAAATCGGAAATTTTACTTATCGTAAATAATTATTTTCCTTAGTATCTGCAGCAGTACATATATTCCCTCCTTTTGAATACATTTGAGACATTTGCTTTATAACATTGCTAGGTCAATGATTCCAAGTCTTTGTGGCTGCAAGGGGGTGGGATTTTTTAGTTTTACTTGTCCCATACAATGAATACAAATGAATATCCTTACTGTACTGCCGCTGATACAAATAAAACATTTATGGTAAGTACAATTTATTTTTTGTTTATATTATCACAGACTTGATGTAAGCTTAGCAGGTTCCACAAATAAAACTTTTTTTTTTCTTTTCTTACTTGATATAACTTTTAATTTAACATTTGTTGCACCCATGTATATTATCCTATGTTTGTTTCCTATAAATTGGCATAAATAATCATCTTTTTAAAGAATATGCCAATTCATATTTAAATATTTTTAAACATATGACTGAACTAAAATCACACAATTAGAATCTGATCAAATTATCATCACATATTTTCTTCTCTATGTTTATATACTATTAGTTCTTTCCTATCTTTCTTTCTTTCTAACTTTTTGGAGTTGAATCTGCACATCCTTTCGATTATATCCCTTTTCATATATTTTTTTTTTCCTCTTTTTAACTTTTGCCTGATCTACAAATTAATTTTAGATTTTTGCAGTTTAAATTTCTTTAAAAATTACCTTTAGGGTAGTTGAGGGTGTGAGTAAATACGTGTATATCAACTTAATAACGCAACACTGGCTCCTTTTCTGAAAAATATTCTAGTCCTGGCACCTACTGTCAACTTGGGGTCAAGTATACCAAAACCCCCATGTGTTTACTGATGGCACACTTGGTACATCTAACATCAGCTAGAGGTCTCTGGAACTGAGCACACTTGTGTCCCTCAAGGATTCTTTGGAGATGTTGCTCTTCTATCCATTGGTTTATCCATTAGCTTATAGGGAGAAGCTTTGCTGTATCAGGCTCAGGCAGTGGTGTATCCTGGTTTTGTGCTGCCCTAGGCAGGACAAAACTCAGGCACACCCCCACCCGCGCAACCGCCACCCAACCTTCCCCCCTGCTCCGCCTTCTAAATACACACACATTCACTGACAGATACGCATTCACTAGCTAACAGAAACACACAGTCACTAACAGACACACACTCACACACTCACTAACAGACACACACATTCACAGGCAAACACACACACACTCACAGGCAAACAGACACACACACTAACATACATACACTAACACTAACATACATACACTAACATACATACACACTAACAGACACACACACTAACATACACACACTAACATCCACACACTAACAGACACAAACTGACACACACTAACAGACATCCACACACACTATCATACACACACTAACAGACACACACTAACATACACACACTAACAGACATCCACACACACTAACATACACACACAAACACTAACATACACACTAACAGACACAAACACTAACATACACACACTAACAT